TCCTTGTCTTTCTCCACCCTTTTTGTTTCCCTTAGAGCTTCGGGAAACGGTGCTTCCACTTCATGAATAACCGGGGGTGGAGTTGAAATGTGAGCTTCCTCCTCCTCCGGCTGAGCTTTCTCCACAAGCTCTTCTTCCTCTTCCTCGCCAATGTGGCTTTTGGCTTTCTCCTTGGCAATCACCAACTCTTTGCCACTCCTTAATGTCACCGCATGGGCTTGTTGCCTCGGATTCGGCTCCGTTTGAGATGGAAGCTTTGTTGAATCCTTGGCTTCAAGCCTACTCACCGCACTTGAGATTTGGCTCATTTGATTCTCAAGGTTTTGGATGCTTGATTTTGTCTCATGTTGGAATTGAACCATGTTTTGTTGCATGGTTGAGACATTTGAGGTGAGTGCTCGGATCATGTCTTCGGTGGACATAGTTGAGCCTTGGCCTTGGGGTTTAGAGTACGGTTGTTTTGGAGGAAATTGGTTTTGTGGAGGGTTATTTTGTGGTGGGTTTCCTTGCGGATTCCCATATCTCAAATTGGGATGATCTCTAAACCCGGGATGATAAGTGTTGCCGTAAGAATCATACCTCTTTTGGTTTGGGAACCCCAAAGCGTTGACCTGCTCGGGGTTTTCTTCTTGAAGGCTCGGGCATGCATCGGTGGGATGGCCTTGTTGTGTGCAGATGCCGCAGACCTTGACTTCTTGGGTTTTGGAATTTAAAAGAAAATCCTTTACCAAAGAAGTCAAGCCGGCAACTTGACTTTCTAGAGATGATGTTGATTCGGCCGCCATGACTCTTTTTGTTGATGACCGCCCGTTGTGATATCTACAATTCTCGGCCAACTCCGAGATAAGATTCATAGCTTGAGAAGGAGTCTTGTTAACGATCCCTCCTCCACATGCGGCATTAATCATCCGTCTATCATCATTGCAAAGACCATCATAAAAGTATAGGATGAGGTCTTGCTCCGAATAGCCATGATACGGACAGCTTGCACAAAGTTTCTTGAATCGTTCCCAATATTCATAGAACGATTCATCATCTTTTTGCTCCACATTGCTTATTTGCTTTTTTAGAGATGAGGAGACAGAGGCTGGATAGTACCTTTCGAGGAAAGCTTTCTTCATGGCCGCCCATGTATCTATACTTCCCGAAGGAAGATAGAATAGCCAATCTTTTGCGGTATCTTTGAGGGAGAATGGAAAGGCCCTTAACTTTATCTGTTCCTCGGTGACTCCATTAGGGCACATGCTCGTGCAAACAACATGGAATTCCGAGAGATGTTTATTTGGGTCTTCTCCTCTTAAGCCATGGAAGGATGGCAAAAGATGAATGAGCCCTGATTTGAGCTCAAATGTATTACCCTCGTTGAGTGTAGGGAAGGTAATACACAACGGTTGTTGGTTCAAGTTCGGAGCTGTGAGCTCCCTCAAAGTTCTTGTTTCAAGAGCCATAGTTATTGGCTCTTCGTTCTCGCTAGAACAAGAACTAGTGCTTGATGATTCCTCCGAAGAGGTATTCGGAAATAAGTTCCTAAACCTCTCGAAGGCTTGTTCCGATTCGGGATTTGTTTGGTAGGTGATTTGGTTTATAGATCGGTGTTTAACCATATACTCAAACAAAGCTCAGAAATAGGGAATAAGAACTCTTTTATATTTTTATTTAATTAAATTTTTATTTTTTATTTTTCTTGAAATAGAAAGAAAAATAATTGCCTTTCCCCGGCAACGGCGCCAAATTTGACGTGCACTTTGTCGTGATGTGCACTCAAAATAATAATCAATACGACAATTATACGTAGTATAACGAAGTAAGGTTCGTGTCCACAGGGAAAGGAATACTTTTCTCTTTATAAACTAGTAACAAGGGGGGGTTTAGGTTGAGTATATGAACTTAAATTGTATTTAAACACGAAGATGAACGAGTTATGTGGTTTAATTAATGAGAAGAAGACTTGGCTTTGCTTTTATCCACTTAATGAAATGTTCGTCGATCCCGGTTATATCTTTAACTATCTTCCTCTCGAATACTCAATCGAGGAGTATATCCAGTTCATCGAGGGTAGTTATTAATAACGAGAAGCGTTCATTAATAAAACTTACTACCGAGTCAATATAGAACAAGCGCCGTATATTAACTTGATAATAGCAATAAAATCAAGATGAAAACGATTGAGATTGATAACCTCAACACAAGCGGTTTATTGGTTTAATCAATATAATTAATTCCCCTTGGCTTATTAACCATGAGAAGCATGCATTAACAACCCAAGTTTACTACCGTGAAAGGGCCGAATTAATAACAAGCGTATTAACCGACCGATTCTAGTAATAATTAATATATAGAACAAGACTAGTTGATACTTTAAGTAATGTTCAAAATATTAATATGAAATATGAATAGGAATTAATTAATACTCAAGGAAGAATATTAAAGAAGATAACTCACAACTTACAAATTCATTAAGCTTCAAAAGAGCAAAACCAAGATGGAAAAGTTTAGCTCCTCATTTGGAGACTAAACATGATGAAAAATATAAAGAAAGAACTTGTCTAAACTGAGCTAAGAAGTATATGTGAATTGGTTGCCCTATTGTGAAAGAAAAGAGGTGTATTTATAGGCTTTTTGAGGTGTAGGTCGGGTACTCGATCGAGTATATACATATACTCGATCGAGTATGTGTAGAAATCAGAATTCGACCCATACTCGATCGGTTTTAGAGTAAATTTTATAACTATACCCGATCGAGTATGTCGGTGTACTCGATCGGGTATAGACACTCGATCGTGGGTAAATCTTCCTCTGCATGTTCCTTTGTTTTCGGATCCGATCCGATTTGAAATGTCAACCAGATACCCGATCGAGTATATATATATACTCGACCGAGTATAGACCAAAATCAGGATTTTTTTCTTCTTCTTTTTGTCTTGTACTCTTGCACCTTCCTTCACCATTGATCATTTGATTGATCTTGGACCTGTTTAAGCTCAGAATAAACCTAATCTAAACAAATTACAAAAATTTAACAAACTAAACTATTACACCGAAAGTGTGTAATTTCCGAAATATTAAACAATCAAAACTAACTAAAAACGTAAATAAACATACGGAAATTACAAACGTATCAAGTCTCCCAATTATCAGGTAGAGAGCTAAGCAAAAGTATTGCTTGTTCTTCATCTTTGAGGACCCATCCGGTGGTGCTCAATTGGTTCACAAGATCCTGGAACTGGCTCGTGTGTTCCGACACAGAAATGCCACCACGTAACTTGTGGTTCACTAATCGTCTCATCAGCAGCGTTTTATTCCGAGCAGTTTTTGCTTGGTACATGCTACTAAGTTTCTCCCATAGTGTGTGAGCACTTTGCTCTTGAGAAACATGATGGAACACGCTATGATCAATCCACTGTCGGATTTGTGCGACAGTTTTTCTGTTCATCTTAGCCCATTCTTCATCCGTCTTTTTATCTGGTTTGACGCCATTATTATCAAGAGGATCTGCTAAATCTTTCAAATTTAACAAATCCTCCATCCGTGGTTTCCACATGTTGTAATTTGTGGAAGTGAGCGCAATCATTGTATCCGAAGATGACTTTTCCATGATAAAAATGTACACTTATTCCCGTACCTCAATTTGGAAGCTGAATTAGGCCAAACGGAGCACACCGTTGAATCCGGAATGGCCGAAAATGGTGGGAACCGGTCTCACCTCTTCAAGAACCGGCCGGGAAGAGCGTGAACCGGAGTATTGAACCACAAGCCGAACCGGACCGGTTCTGGCCCAAACCAGTGGGCAGCCAACCAGGCTGATGACGTGGCACCACCTGGACAGTGACGTGTGATGACGTGGCAGATGACGTGGCAGATGACGTGGCACAGCAGGTGGTCCAACAGGTCGGCTGTCGGTGACGTGGCGATGACTGGGCGATGACGTGGCGATGACGTGGCGTGCTGACTGGTCTTCTTCTCCGGCGAGGTTGCTGCCGGACTGGAGTACTGCAGCGGCTATGACTGGCAGGAGAGAGAAACTTTGACCGGACGTTTGGAGGCCTTCCGGTGGTCAAAAAATTCCGAAAAATATATTTTTGGAATCCTCAGAACGAGAGCTTTCTAATGGTGGCCTCAAAATAAGATTCTGGAACAAAAAAATTTTGACCAAAAATTCGGGCAGAATGAAGAAATTTGGGTTTCTGGATTAAACTGGCTCTGATACCACTTGTTAGGATTGGAAAATTCTTCTATTCATAACCAGAACAGAATTACAATAGGAGGAGCAACTCTCTCACTCAACTATTACAAAAAACCAACCCTCTTATACACTCACACTCTATGTATATTGCTCTCACTCTTTCACTCCGAATTTTGATGCATTTGATCAAGCTAGAACCACCCTATTTATAGGGAAATGCTGGGAGACAATTGCATGCAGCCCATATAGCATCCCATGCCTTCCCATGCCTTCCCATGCCTTCCCATACCTTTTAATTGATGGAGGATGGAGCTTCATGCCATGGAGTGGGTGTGTGTATGGGAGCTGCAGCAATCCTACAAATGACAATATCATATTTTCCCAAATGTGAATGTCAAGAGTGAAAAGGAGAACAAGGGCCTTGATGAAGTGGAAAATTATATAGTGCAGTTTATGTTGCAGTAGTTAATCGATTTGTTAATGTCACTGTTTTTCAATCTAATACAGGGACTTTGTTAAATGGTCATTGGAGGTAGAAGGATCTATAGCTTGACCCGTTATTAAAAAAGAGTGATCGGGATTGAAGGGTTTTGATTATCATTGAATTAGGGAGACCTCCTCTCTTTGCAAAAAGTCATTGTAAATATCTTTTTTGGTTCTTGAGAAGACAATTTTTGTTGAAGGAACCAAAGGGTTTTTATGGACTATGTGATTTTGCTATGGTTTTTTTTTTTTTTTTTTTTTTTTTTTTTTTTTTTTTTTTTTTTTTTTTTTTTTACCCCGGAAGGCAAACCACCAAAATCGGTGGGGTAAAAGCCGGGGGCCAATTACCAGATTTTATTGATAAAATTCATTGATTACAAAAAACCGGGGGGGCATAAGACCTGACCCGGACTGAAATAATAGCATAACTAAAAGAAGAAATTGAAAAAACGAACTATATTCTAAAATGAGGCCAACCGAACAGATCAGCGTAATAACATTGCTTGACCCGAGTAGGAAGCTGTCTCAAAGTAGTGAAATGGGTTTTAATTATTCCAGGTTCCGCCAGCATATGAGCCGTAAAATTCCCTTCCCTCAAGGTATGTTCGAAAATCAGCCCTTTGTCCTTGGCCCTCCTCTTGAATGTCTGAAAACGCTGAGACACTTGCTCGTTGCTATCATCTGAAAACCAGGGGATCGATGTGACCGCATCAACTTCCACCTCCAAACCATCGTACCCCAAATCCATCACCATCTCACATGCCATAACCATTGCTAACACCTCCGCTTCTTCACTTGAGGATGCCTGAAGATCGAAGCTAACAGCCCAGACAAATTCACCCAGCTTATTCCGCAAAATCGCACCCCCTGCAGCTTCATGAAGTTGGTAAGATGCATCAATGTTTAGCTTAAATTCTTTTTTAGGTCGTTTCCACTTCACCGCAGTACACCAAGAGGCTTTAAATCGAAAACCTAGTGGTATTAATTTTTCCTGCACCAGGAACCATTCAATCGGCCTCTTCTTCAGCCCTGTAATCTTAGCTGACCAATTCTGTGTGTAAAACTTAATCTGCCAAATTAAACTATCCACGGATGGAATAGAGCCTGATCCCCACTTATAAGTTGCATAAGCTTTCCAAATATGCCAACAAATCATACCTGGAATGGTATGCTTGAATAAATCTGAAAGAGACTTCGAACCTGCCTCCAACCACCACCAAACCAGAAGTTGTCTAATAGATTGGTTGTTTCTAGGAAACTGAATATCAAAGACACCCATAAAATATTGCCAAACCCTCTTTGCATAAACACAATTAGCAAAGATATGGTTATCCTATATTATTACTTATTCCTTTCAAAAGTATATACGAAGTATAATAATAGTACTCATTTTCAGGTTTTTTCTGCATATCATTATACTAATTATGTGAAGTTTGTGAACAAGTAGAGACCTTTTTCAAACTTTGAAAGGGTCACTTGATGTATGGTGAGTTCATGACTGATACTATCGAAGTAGTAGTACAAAGTTAACAACCAAGCGAAATAATTTTGACATACATAAAACTACTAAAAATGAGTACATTTGATAAACATGATTTAAGTCCATTTGAATAGAAATTTTCTTAAATTCATTTTTATCTTGATATTATCAAGCTTTTTCCTGTCAGGGTATTTCTTATTTTATTTTAATTTTCCGTAAAGGTTCTGTGATTGATAGTTTTTGTTGTGAATCTCAATTCGAAAGGTTTAGATTGCTATAGTCGTATATCTACTTAAATTCACACATACAAAAGGATGAAGTATATAATATTAAAAAAAACGGAGTAGTATAGAAACATATATATTGCTGAATGCTGATAATGAAAAGTGAACATAATGTATTTTTTTATTCTTTTTGTTCCATGTTTTTTCTACTCTAATTATTTGTTTCTGCTACTTTTAATATTGGTGGAAAATCCATGTAAATATTAAAAAGAAAAAGTTCCCGAAATAGGACTAAAACAGTTTGAAAATTCCAAAATAGGACTGTCATGTTTTTTATTCCCAAAATAGAAGTAATTATTGCCAAGTTTAGAAAATACTATCATATTTGAAGCCTGGTACTGCCAAAACATGGCAGTAATTAGTCATATTTTGGGAACAAAAACATGGCAGTCCTATTTTGGAATTTTCAAACCTTTTTAGTCCTATTTAGGGTAACATCTCTATTAAAAATGAAGGGAGCAATATCTAAAATATACTTCTTCCGTATGTTAAAGTTTGCTACACTTTCCTTTTTTGGATGTATTTAAAAGTTTTTACACTTTCCCTTTTTGGTAAATATTTCCTTTAAAAATAGGCAATTACCCTGATTTTTTCAACTTTTTATCTTTTCTTTCATACTTTTCCATCTCTCACACCTTTTCTACAGTATTCATCACCCTTAAATGTTGTGCCCAAACAGAAATACGATAGTGAAAGAAAAAATATTACCCCAAATAGGACTAAAAAGGTTTGAAAATTCCAAAATAGGACTGACATGTTTTTATTCCCAAAATAAGACTAATTAATGTCATGTTTTGGCAGTACCGAACGTTAAACATGGCAGTATTTTCCAAACTTGACAGTAATTACTCCTATTTTGGAAATAAAAAACATGACAATACTATTTTGGAATTTTCAAACTGTTTTAGTCCTATTTCGGGAACTTTCCTAAGAAAAAAACAAAAAAGTAGGGCAAAAGTTTCCAAATATGGAAATGTATTGAAATGTGACAAATAATGAATAGCTTCTCAAAAAGGAATAAAATAGAATGGAGAGAATATATCAAAAGTGATCTATATTTAAAATCGGTGGTTTTTGAAATATGATTTGTGGAGTAATAAATTTGTTGAGTAACCCATTTTTAGTAGTTTATAATGTTAACCATATTTTTCAAGTTTTCCTTAAGAACCCATATTTTTCAAGTACAAGTAAAATAAGTATAATTCAAAAAAATGGGTTAAAATGAACAAAAAACATCTATATTGATGATTGTAAAATAATTAAGAGGGATTGCACGTGTTCAGCGCACGTGGAAATGATTCATTTCGAAAAAGGTTGTCACTGAAGAAGTGTGTATAAAAAATAGATCACAATAAATTTAGTTTGTAATGTGTGTTTATTAAACTTCTAATATTTGTTATTAATTATTTACTATTTTTCACATTTATACGTATAAATGAATTTATATTTTACAGGGTAACATTTATCATATTTGTATATTACATCCCGTGCAACGCACGGGTGAAATACTAGTAATTAATAAAAAATAATGTTGATACCTAATTTACCCATACGGCTACTCCGTTAACGCTTTCAAGCTATATACTTCATTTTTTGAGAAAAGAGGCAAATAAGCCCTCCAATTATCTGCAATTCTGCAATCAAGCCCCTGAATTTTAAGAGTTGCATATCCACCCTCAATTCATTGAAAATGATGGAATCAGGTCCTTTTTTACCTGTTGGTGGGGGGTAAGAAGATGAAATATTACCAGCATCAGCAGGTAAAAAGGACCTGATTGCATCATTTTCAATGAGTTGAGAACTGTATCTGCAATTTTTCAAGTTCATGAGCGTGATTGACGAATTGCAAATAGTTCGAGGGCGTATTTGACGCTTTCCTCTTTGTCCTTTTATCTTGGATATTTCTGCAGAGTATGAACTTCCTGTAGAAGGGCTTCCCTATTCATCGTATACTTAGATACATACATATAGAGGAGTGTTGGTAGAGCTGAGCCGGGCTCATGTCTGGGGGATCAGACCTGGGAGATGTATGCTCTGTTTCGGAGTTCTTCAACAACTTCGCCCAAGGCCTCATCCCCAATTCAGGCTCTTTATATCCAACCGCTAGCCTCTCCAAATCAACAAGTCCCAGTGTGATGACAACCAACAGGTCCCTTCCCCCTTTGGAAAACATTGCAGCATTACCCACAACTCTAAAATGGCAACTTTCTTACCAAATCAGTGAAATCACAAATGAGCAATTCAAAATTATACCTTCTTGCAAAAAAAATTATACCTTCTTTTAATTTGATTTGATAATTCAAATGTTTGGAAATGTTTGGCTAAACTCCGTGGAGAAGATGACCTGCAGCGAGGCTAATATGCTATTGAAGGTTACCGGCGCTTTAGGCTTGAGGATTTAATAAAATGGAGGTTGTGAATATAATTTCCCTTTATGTTTGTGGACTGAATAATAATAGGAAAATTCTATTTGCATGGCTAAACACAACCCCCAAATGAATAAACAATACAAACTTTGTATTATACCATCCTAATTTACCCTTTGGCAGCATTATATTCAAGTAACCCTTGATCTCATTCATGCACAGGGGCGGACCATAGTAGAGACCCAGGGGGCAGTCGCCCCTCCAACAATTTTTTTAGTGTATATATATACCAAAAAACAATTTTCGCCCTCCCAAAAAATATTTTTTTAAGTTACCGCCCTCCCAAGATAAACTTCCTGGGTCCGCCCCTGTTCATGCAAGATTATCTCGTGCAGAGCATCCCCACACTCGGCTGAATCGGTTTCCCACTGAAGAATCAACGGTCCGCGGCGATGGAGCAAAAATATCTCCGACTCTCTTCCTGAAATGGAAGAAGCACTATTTGAATTCAATGACGAACAGAAACCAGAGAGAAACAATCCATTTCATCACATCCAATCCATTGTACATTTGATTTGAAACTAGGTCTAGTTGATTAAGATTAGGAATATATCCAATCGCTCTAAAACCGTCCCGGAGTTCATTCTCCGGGAACTCTTTTTGAATTCTTCCAGCATCTACTTTATGTTTAGAATCTCGTTCGAAATCGTATAAAGGCATTTTCTATTTAATATTGCGACTTGGGCAAGTATTTTACGGTTAAGAAGTTACAGATCCTTTGAAGCGTGCCGGCCTCATCAACTGGCTTCACTGTTGAATGCAGTGACTGGAACATCACAAAGATGTCGACGTGACGGAACCCATCCACCATATTAAACTGGAATATCCAGAAATACCAGCCAATGAACACCATGATGAATCTTGTGATAAGCTGCAGATGGTGAGGGTAATTAAAGTCAGACACTTTCTTGTGAATTCTCTTAATCAGTATTCTTCTAATCGATGTTTTTTTGGAAGTTGATGTTGATTAATTTTTTATTCCAATCAATTGTTTGGACTTTGAAACTTTGGAATTCATCTATTTTTTTGTAAATCTACACTTCATCTACTTCATCTCAATTCAAGATGAACAAATGGAAGGAGGTGTGCATGTATTAATTTAAGTCGTGCATGAACAACAGGTATACACAAAATATATCCATTTACGTTTAATATGGTGGCTTTGAGTAGTAAAAGTTGGGCTGCAAATAGAATTCCCTATAATAATATAATCATAATAATGAGGATGATTATTAAATGGGTTATGAGAATGTTAATATATTTGTCACTCATAGTTAGTTTTCAATATATTCTTAATTAAGTAATATAAATTAGATATTATAAAATAGACTTTATAATATGATTGGTCGGTTGATAAATCAAAATTAATAAAATAGCTGAAGGAAAATGGATGATTTTAAATAGATTCATACCTTGATTATTATGGGGTATTATAGACATTAATTATGAAATAATTACATAAATATGACTAAAATAAAGATGGTTTAAAAAAATACGACTAGTTACTAGAGTAGTATTGAAATCATAGTAATTCATGTTCAAGTTTTGAACTTAAGTTATCACAACACTACATTGTAGTAATGAATAGTCATATTTATGTAAATAAGTTTTATTTTAGTAATATTCTTGTAAAAAACCCATTAATTATTATTAAAATAATTTAATCATAAGAGGTGAAATTTGTATATAAAGGGTAGAGGGTTTAGATTATAGTTAGATAAGATATTAATTTTTGGAATTGTAACTAGAAGGTGAGCAAGGTAGAAGATGTTACTAGGAGTACTTCGAGTTTGAGGTAAGTTCGATGTCAATAAAATCTATATCCCCCTATATAATTTAGAACTAAGTTAATATGTGATATGTGTTGTGAAACTAAATGTGTATTTCTACTTT